GATCTTCACTCGACTGCGAGTCCCACGGCCCAAGTGGAGCCAGGAAAAATGCCAGGGAATGACGGTGCTTTCGATCAAATTTGCGACCATTTAGGTTCCTCCACTACCGATTTAACCACCGAAAAGTCATAAGGTCTACCTATTCCATGCGAGCACTTATTTCAGAGTGGCAATGTTGGCCAAAATTGCGCCCCTAATCAAACACGTCTCCTGGATCTGCCACATAGATGCACTGTTGTCTTTTTCAGTGCTACATATATAAATGCGGCCGACTTCACTTATTTCATCACCGACTTCATAAACCAAGCCATTACCTTCCGTCTCTCTTGAGCTTCACGCTACAAATATATCCAATCTACTCTTCTCGTACCTTTCATTCTCTTTAAAGGCCCAAAGATGGCTCCACCCACGACCATTCGCGAAGCGTGCGATATCATTCTGGAACAACTGCAGGACTTCAATGACACAGACAAGATCAACGACCTTCGCTCGGCCATTACGGACTTCATTGAGGCACAGACTACTATGCAGACAGTATCGATTCGTGTCTTGGCCCTAGGCCAAAGAGAAGACCCTCAAATGCAGCCCATCGTTGAGCGGACCAACGAAGAAAAATACAAACAGACTCTGAGATCATTATCAGGTGCCAAGAAAGAACTATTCAAGGCTGTTAACTATCGGGCGCTCCTGGAAACGATGATGAGGTGTCTGGATGATAAGGATCTGGAAAAGTTGCGCTCTACTGCCGCGAAGCAACTAAGGGTTCTTATGATTGAGCACGGTTATGTTTGATATAGACAACCTCGCTCAAACAGGTGTCGGTGGACATGGGCGAACGCACTCGAACATAGAGTGTCTAAGAGTGGCTGATCATAGAAATTGTGCGAAAGAGACAGGGAATTATGTTGCCCCGGATAGCTAAACATGTGGACGGCAGTAATAGTGATCATATTTCTCTTATATTTGAGATGGGACAAATTTGGCAGATAGTATTGAGTGGTTCAACATCTTGACATCTCTTCATATTTCTTGTAATGATGATATGACAGAAGAAACTCGCGGATGCTGTTTGAAGATACTATATTAAAAAAAGGCTCTTCGCTTCCTCTGAATTCTAGACTACCCGTCATCACGATATTAACAGCATCTGCAGCGTGATGACAAGGAACTGATCTACCAGAATAAAGATCTTCACTCATCTCGTATCTTTTCCCCCGACTTCCCTTTCTCTTCTACACCCGCCTACCAAAGTCTCCTCCCACAAGATACCGTGAAACTCCCACTCGTTTACCTCCATCAAGGAACGGGCTACTCCAAAACGAGGTTCGGTTTTCTCTCTGATTTACTTGAAGTGCGACTAATCTTCGAAAAAGCGCATGACGACAACTCCAGAGCCTGATGAACCTCCGGCACAGATCCAGGTAGGATGTGAACTACAACCACTCATTTCCAAGGCTAACTAAGTCCCAGTCGCCCCGAGACTCAGCAATTGCCAGCCCAGGGTTTGAATTTTTCCAACGTGTCCAGGTTGGTAGTTGCTAATGAAACTCGCAGGTGGGCTTCTAGCACCTATTCAGTGAACTCGGAAGACCTGGGATATTGGTGGCTAGGGAACCGTCTCTATGGACGTGGTACATGTTCTCGCTTCTTCAAGCCCTTTAACATTACTCAAACGAAGCAGGCTTCCCGTTTCCCATCGATGATAGGGCAAAAGAAGACCACGATGCCCGACATGCCGTGTTTAAGAAAATTCTGAAGAATCGGAACTTCTGTGCGCCCGTCAGTCTGGAGGGCGCAGATGTGCTTGAACTGTACACTAGAACGGGCAAACTGGCCATGGAAATCGCGGACGAAAATCCGGCTTGTTCAGTGATCGGCGTTGACGAGAGCCAAATGCAGGTAGAATTGGTTCCGCCAAACCTTCGATTCGAGATTTGTGAAGATGACAACAGCTGGACATGGAGACGGCCGTTTCGATTTATCATCATGCGTCAACATGGAGTGTTTGTAAAAGACTTGCCGGGTCTAATACGTCGATGTTCTGAGTAAGTTCGAAGGACCAAGATGGAGTATAGGGTTTAACACGTAATAGGATTCTCGAAGATGGAGGCTGGATAGAATTCCAACTTTTGACCTTGAGTCACCATTCGCAATCTGAACAGCAAGTTCCAACGGGCGAGGAAAGCAAAGTTCGGGATATACATCGTTATCTATCACGTGGACTGGCCAAACTCGGGCTACAGCTGGATATACATGACAAGCTTACTCAGATGCTCGAGGAGAAAAGTTTTCACAATCTCGAACACCGGGAGTTTCCTGTACCTCTTGGACGGTGGCCAAAAGACAAGGAATTGGTAATTGTGTCCGTTGAAGAAAATAGAAAAGACGGCTAATATTATGACCCAGAAAGATCTAGGTAATCTGTGGTTGGAGGTACTTCACGGTGAACTGGAAGCATTAATGCTCCTGCCCTTGAGCGAGGGCCTCAAGTTAGACTACCAGCATATTCAATTAATTCTCAAGGACATTCGGAATGACTTAACAAGATGTGCAAGATCACAATGGGTAACCAAAGTGTACGTCTACCCTGCTCCGTCGTTACTGTTAACTCTAATGAAGCAATAGTCATATTGTCTACGCACAGAAAGGATGTGAAGGTAGAACCACATAGATTTCGCGTACATTAACGGGGTAAACTTTCCGAGGTATGCATATTCTGGACTTTCTTCTCGTGCCTCATGAGGCCTCCCGAAAAGGTGAAACCTGGATGACCAGTTTTTTGTAAAGTCTTGAAGCCGTGGGATTTTCTCTTGGGCCAGTATATGAAACCCATCTCGGAACGAACCCTTCCAACGGTCGAACCACCAGCAACGGCCACCACACCAGATAACACCATGATTACGTCCACGTGTAAAGTGTGGACACAATGGATGGGTTCACTTGGGAAGTGTCTTGGTATGCGGCCAAAGAGAAGCGGAACCTGGTTCTGATCGGACCGGAGGAGTTGGAATCGTATTGGGTCATGGATGGATCGGATACAGTAGTCAGGCCAAATCGCCGTTCCTTCACCCAGCACGAGCTTGGTTTGATCGCTTAGAAAAGGGCCAAATGACTTTGTGTATTGTAACATGTCAAATTTTGTGACTCGAATGTGGGTGGTCAACCTCGTAGGCAATATCGCTCCTTTAGAGTGGTACTTTACGATAGCATGCTGTCAATTCTGCCTCGTTCTCAGGGTTTAGGGGCAGACCCAAGTCATTCCAGCCATTCTGCCTAACTGACCGGCATCAACCCAATGCGCCGCCTTGACCCCCCTTGACCCTCCTTGACCCTCCTTGACCCTCCTTAACACGCCTTGACCCTCCTTGACCCGCCTTAATTCGCCTTCGTCCACCTTCGCTTAAGCTGAAAATGTCGGCCTCCCTGCTTTCGCTGGTGACCATGTATCCCATGTAGGTGCGACCAATTCTGAGGCTGAGTTTGCCTGATAAGCATCAAATGTTTGCCTGGTATTTGCCTCTTGGTTTGTGAACTCTTGCCAGAAGATGTATAAGGCACAGTTCCACTCACTGCTCGCCAGTCTAAGTATCCCCGGCCAAGTATTCATCTTCTCACTCATCGGACATCTGACCGTCGCACTGTATTCTGTATGCTGAACTCATCATGACGAAAATAAAATCAAGCAGTTGTTTTGGGGGAAAAGGCCCTATAGGGTAATGTCTTCATCGTCGTCATCTTATTCTGCGTTCGGCTAACTATATTTGCTGTTACAGCAGTTCTCATGCCCACCAAATGCCGTTGCAACTCGAAACAAAGCCTATCTCACAGGAACAGCTCATCAATGAAGTGAAAGGCATATATGATGGCATCTTTGTGGTCGAGAAGAAGTGTTTCGAGATATGCCAGCAGCAGTTCCAGACTACAAACAAGCTCTCAAATGAGCAATGGCAGGCATTGACTGTATTACATCGGACCCTGTTACACGAGCATCATGATTTTCTTTTGGCCAGTCAACATCCTGCGGCATCACTCGCGCTTCGACAGTTACCGACGGAATATGACATGCCCGCGCGAATGTGGAGGCACGGTATTCACTCATTTCTTGAGTTACTCCGCCATCGTCTGCCGTGTTCATTGGAGCATATGCTCAGCTTCATCTATCTTGCTTATCAAATGATGGGTTTGTTGATGGAATCAGTGCCTGCCTTTTATGAAACATGGATAGGATACCTTGGAGACCTGGCTCGTTACCGAATGGCCATCGAAGAATCTGACATGTGGGACCGAGAGAACTGGTCTAATACTGCCCGAATATGGTATACTCGTGCTGCTGACCGCTCCCCCACGACTGGCCGTATACAGCATCACTTGGCCATTTTAGCAAGACCGAATGTGGTTCGTCAGCTGTTTTATTATTCCAAGGCACTCACTAGCGGCATCCCATTTGTGGACGCTCGGGATTCGATGATGCATTTGTTCTCTCCTTTTCTCGATAAGTATGAGATAACAAGTCAAAAATACTTGAAGGTAGAAGCTAGCCTGGTCACTACAGCAGGTGTTCTTTTCACCCATGGATTTGTCCATGATTATTGTTTACACATCAGTCGATTTGCATCCGAGTTACACGGCACTATCAACAGGATAGGATCGGATTTTAAAATGCAAGGAGCGGAGATGGCATCGTCCCTCATTACCATGATCCTCGACTTCGGATCTAACGAGAATTTCCTGTGGAAAGCCCTTTGTGCGGACTCAAAAACCAACAAGCAGAGCCAAGATGAAGAACAATCAGACCAGCCCTCCGGCACAAATCTCTCTAAGGATCCTATGGCTAAATCTCAAATGCGCCGCAAATTCTGGGAACATGATGGCCCTATTAATGTTCAAGACTTTATTCAGGCTACTGCGCCACTTGGTGACAGACCAGAGGTTAAATTCTCTTCTTCAGACGAAGTAACGTCATACGTCCTACCTGTTTGGTACCAATGCATTTCCATCGTTACGGCCAAAGTCGGAGACAGGAACATTCTCCCGTTTCTACACTTCACTCTGTCATTTCTATGGGGTCTATCAGATGTTCCAGAGACTCTTATCTACCTCGAAGACTACGTTCCATGGGACAAATTGGTTTTATCGTTAAACTCGATAAGTAGATCTGGGGTGATTGACAATGAAGTTGAGGCCTCGGATTTTCCTCAACAACAGTCAGGCACAGGTCGTCAATTACCAGAGGACTTCTTGATACGTGGGTTCAAATGGTCTCATTATCACTACTATGCCCCCGAATTTTTCGAGGAACAAGTGACAGACGAGGATGACCGCACACTAGAGCTTCCAAGTCATGCAGTATCACGTGCAGAGAGGTGTCTGTGGCTTGGTGTGAGGCTTGCTTCAGTAAGCAGAACCCTCAAACGCGTGCTCTAACGACTCACTAACTCTGTGCTTAGTTGAAACGCTATATCACCTATGATAGCGGCTCGAAACAATTCTCCTGCACAGAATTCACGCAAAATTTGAGACCTGTTTCTCTTACCAATACGTTCCAGGTCCTGCCAGTCTTGAGAATGGAGAAAACATCTCCATGGTAGACGTCGTCTAAGATTCGAAAGTTCAAGCGTCCTTAGACTCTACTCTTAGAATCTATCGACCCCTAGGCAATGTCCCTGGAGCTGTTCTTCTTGCTTCCGTCGGATTAGATACTCCAGTGATGAAGGTACAATTGTCTCCACTTGGTTCGCATCAGGATGCTTGTCGTATCTTTCAACAAGAGACAGAGCGGCAGAGTTTGAGAGACAAATGACAGGAGAACATTTAGCGGAATAGCATCACGAGTGGTCCGACAGTGACAGTATTTTGGTCTATGCACGAAGGTTCATACAGTAATGGCCAATTGGTTTAACTTAGTTACTGTGTTCTCACTTCCAGGAGAGATTCCTTGTCGATAGGGGCGACAAAACTTTGGTGGGAAATAGATCGCCTCTTTCCCTCCCGATTCTTGGTCCCTGAGTTACACTGTATTTGACAAGGAAGGGAGAATCTCACTGTACATGTACCTCTAAGCCGACCAATTTTCTAGGCATAGCAAAGAACAAATGCAAGTGTACTTAATTTCAATAGAAACGAGTATTGTGAGCTTCCAAGTCCAAGTAGGGATGACATGGCGGAGAACGCAATCTCCACTGATTTCCCTGTTCCACAGAGCGCAAATCTGGCTACAACTTACATTATTCCTCTCTTCGCCCGATTCCTTACTCTTTCTCATCTTCATCTCACTAGATAATATGACCGGAATGGCTCGTCCATCAAAACATAAGCGAGGTCAAAAGGCCTGCGCCCCCTGCCATAAAGGCAAAATAAGAGTATCGATACCCTTCACGCCTTTCATGCGATAGAATTTTAATGGTTAGCACAGTGTAATGGCGGTGAGCCTTGTGAGAACTGTAAAAGAAAGGGAAGGCATGATTGTGTTTATGAAAGTCCGGTGAGCTTCACACTTCACACACATGGAAGACCATAAAATTAACGCCAGGTTTAGATGCCTCTTATGCTAAAGTTGATCCTCGATTTCGATCATCCATCGTTGCAGGACCCGAAGCTAGAGAATCTCATCTCACAATGCCGCTCAGTGCGAAATTCTTTCCAAGAAGGCCACATGAAAATTGCTTGGAACGGTCTTGGGGACGTCTCTGCTGAGGTGAGCAGGATAAAGAAAGGTGTGTATACACTTAACAAGCAGGTCAATGGTATTTGGCTAAGGAGCAAAGACTACAAAAAATCAGATTTCTTTGCCCAGATCCTGTGGGTACTTGTCTATGTCGAGGCGAGGTTATGTTTCTTGTTTCAACGCAAAACACGTTTGCCTCAACCACGAAGGCCAATGCTCGTAAAGGCGCACTTTAATGACCGCAAACTCTGCAACATCTATGTCAACACAACTACTGTCCTACTTAATGCCTGTCACGATTTATCACCCTTCAACAACTATATGCAGGAGTTGCAGAAAAATCTCGCAGACGTGCAGCAAATTCAGGAGATATTGAATCAAGGTTCTGCGCAATCAGAAGCGGCTAGAGATCTAATATTTGAGTTGCAATTCTCCTTGCGCTTACTGTCTAAAGGAACGGTAGTCGAGAACAAGGACAACGATCTTGGACGCAAGGCTCAGTTCTGGCCTCCTGAAATCGCTGCAACCCTGGAGGGTGTGCAAACATCGAGTCTAAGAAGTACTGCTGTCACTCAATCTGTCGGTGCCGATAAGCATCTTGACCCGAATGAGAAGTTCCTTTTCAACGCCGATGGCTATTCCCCAGACGAAGTCGCCCATAGTCAGCCTCGAAACCAATGGGAAGATGAAGGATGCATTGACCGGTGTGTCGAAATGGATACGAACCCTGTAGAAGATGCAACAAAATCGGAGAACATCCAAGAGTTACTCCAGGGACTTCATATTCCTTTACCATCCTTTGGAACTTCCGCGGAAGGACCATTGAGCCTCACCTTCTCCGAGAACGACTGGAAACAACCGATGATTGAGATTCGCCATTGTAGTTGGCTCGATGAGGTCAACACAATTCTTAACCTGGATAGCCAGATCACTATTGGGTCAGCGGTTCCCCTCGAGGAGGCAGTCCTCGCAGTGTATCACTTAAACAGTCAACAATCAAAGCTTCCCAGAACGCACAGAAAGTTAATGTTCGATGCCTTGCGAGTGAGGCTACTTCACTGCGCCATTTTAGCTCGAATCGGAGGCGACAAGAGACGATACTTTGAGCTCTTCCCAGTGTCGTGTATTGGGGAGAGGATTGACTTGGTGCCAACTCCTACCGACTCTAACGTATCTGGCTACCTCTGTAAATGGAATACGCGTGGTGACGATCAATGGGAGTGCGAGATTAGCGATCGTGGTAGCATGGTATCAAAGAAAGTGGACTGGAAGGAGCTGAAGGATGAATCATTGGTACTAAGCGGAGGAATGGGCCAACTTCATCAAGGTCTCCTTCGTAGGTATAGAGTCTGAAGTTCCATACTGAACAAAGGAAATGAACATTCTATTGGATGAAGATGGGTATCATACATCCATTCTACTGGAGCGTCTTACTACATTCTCTAGTTGTTCATGGGGAACAGCTCGCAGGCTCCGAGATACCTAAATAAGTAACAGAAATATCTCTCTGAGATTTACTCCAGGAGCCTAGCGGCTCTACCTAGGATATAGGGCCGTGATGGCCACTTGGACCCCGAGTCCATATTGTTTAGACACCAAAGAGCACTGATGCCACTTGAACTCTCCTAGGCCCTGTAGGCAGCTCTTAGCGAGTAAAGCCCCCTTACCGCGGCGGAACAATCTCAACTTATTCCCCAATTTCCAGGCTATGGGCCTTTAATCATAACATTAACTGCAAAATAGTTACTCCTCGAGCCCCTTCGCTCCTAGTCACCCGGTGGACAGCGGTAAATCATCCTGTCTCGGATTCCTTCCAGCCTCGAAACCTCTCTAGAATCGAAACCTCCTCTATCGGACCAACTATTTCCAACCGAAGAAACGGAACCTGCTTCAGACACAACAACCATCTTTTGACCACCCTTTTGTCGCTCCCTTTCGAAAACCATGGGCAAGTCAACTGTTAGTGGGAAACAAGGTGACGGCCAGCTCAAAATGATGCAGTGTCTCCTCATCCTATTTCCGCTCTCGGCTTCCTCTAACTCTGAATCTGGTAATAAACATGCACTGGAAGATTTGGTCCAAAGATGCAAGGAGGAGTGGCTTCCGAGGGTGGGCACAGAAGAGTATAAGACTTTCCAAGGTGCAGAATTGGACAGTATCAGCTGGGAAGGACTCACCTCAGAGTTTGTGTCCGCCTTCCCTGATGCCTTCCCGAAGGATGCGAAAGCTCAAAAGACACAAGCCTATCAACTTCGCAGTCAGCTCAGGCACAATCTTGAACAGATGAGCCAGCTCCGCGATTGGCCTGATAAGTCATTCCCTAGACCACTACGGCAATTCGTGTGTGCAGGCTTCACTGAGGACATGAACGTATGGTTAGTTCTTCGCGGCTCTGCTGTAATTCCTTCTGGCGATTTAACTGGTTTAAAACCGTGGATCAAACATAACCGGGACTTGAAACAGCTGGCGGAGATTCTGGGCACTTCATGTCTATTTAGCAAACCTCTCACCGATAAGAAGCTTACTGCGACATCACTTCAAGACTGTATCCAGAAGCTGGAGGTTTTATTTTGTGGCTCAGGAATTGATCAGTAAGTCCAGGGTCGGTGTAATCCGGAGTCTGTACTGACAGTTCATCTTCCTGGTAGCGTCAACTCGGGCGAAGCAACATCTGTGGTGGCATTTTACCTGTGCGAAGCGGATGACGACGCCTTTATCAGACATTTTCGAGGTTTACCTTGCCTGTCGACAATCGGTAGGGACCCCAGTTCCGAGCCTGGGAAATGGCAGTACCGATGCGTTTTGGAAAAGCACGAGTCGTCGGTCACCCAAGACGATCTCTTCATAAACAATCGACGACCGACATACTCCAAGGCCTTTGAATCTCAGTCTCAAGCTCTTCAATGCTGGGAAGACATCGTTGGAAGGTCCCAACAACTTTTAGATCATCGCTGTCCAAGGCCTTTTCCGGGCAGTATGAGCATGTCAGATCGTCCTGAGGTTTTTGAGGCCGTCAAGCTCATCCGAGCATATATGCCCTGAAGAAAATAATGACGACAGAACCACCAGGAAATTTATCTGAAATTACAAAAGTGGACGGAGATTAACAAACTGAATCAAGTCCCAGAAAAAGCTGCCGAATAACCATTGGTGTCCGAAGGACTTGTTGTTAGTATTTTCAGTCTCACTCGCTCACTCGCTCACTCATTTTACAACAGCGCTTGTGCGTGAGTTAAAGTAATGTCATACCACAGACACTATGACTAGGCAAATCGAGACTTTATGGACCGACGAGGATGGTTTCGACTGGGATACTCCTCTCGCATATGTAATATTTTAATAGCCTCATTGTTAACAGGATCAGAGTCATCTATGCAGCCCAGGCGCTCCCACAAGATTGCCTTGCCTTCTTGCTAACTGTCTTCCCCTTAATCGGGCCAGTTCCTCCGCAATCAGTTGTTGGTGGTCGCACAGTGGAGCTATGATTGCGCTATAGCACTTGATATAGACAGGCACCACAGCAAACAGTTGATTGACCGAAGGTTGAAGAAACTGGAGAGGCTCCCCTCGTGTATAGAACGTGATAGTGATAACTCCCGTAGGCGCCCTCAAGGCGAAAGACACCAAACTTGAATAACGGGAGACCAAAGTGTAGTTTTCGTCACCCGATAAGAAATTAAC